TAGAAGTGGGAAATTTCAGTTTAGTGGGTAGCTCTGCTCCACTGGTCAAAGACCCAGGTTGCTCCTATCTCGTTTCTTCACTATCCCCAGAGGACAAGGTCTTTGTCAGCACGATCAAATCCAGGTCACAGATATGAGCTAGCTCAAGCTCATAGCATAGGAAAAGAAACATGTTGGCAGCATGACCATCTCCTAAAGTCCCAGGTGGGAATGATGCTTCACTGCCACTTCCATTCCATTGGATATAAAATTGATCACATGACCACATCTAAGTTGAAAGAGAAATTAGGAATGTAGTGAGGCTAGCCATTAATGTGCCAAAATAAAATACTATTTCAGTATTTCAAGAGATATTTAGATTGACAGCTAGCAGTCTCTATCACAAGTATATAAGTACTGAGAATTTTTATGAAAAACTTTCCGGAGGGAATCATAAGATGATGTTAATAGAGGTTATCTTTGGGGAGACAGATGGAAAGTGGAGAATGGAGACATTTCTCCACTTTTAGGTTGCCCTTTTCCGCTTTCTCCTTTCTACTGTATACCACCAAATGTTACGGGTATTACTTTTATTTATTTATTGACTTTTACATCAACAAGAGATATCTGGATTGAGATTGGAGAAGTATTTAAGACATTTTTAGAAGGTATAAATAACAGAATTTGTCATTGTTTTAAGCAATGAGAGAGAGGAAATAGTCAAGGAAGATTCTCAGATTTATGACTCAAGCATGAATGGTATTGCCATTAACTGCAGTGGGGAACACTGAACCTTTTGGGAGGGAAGGTGATGAGTTCCATTTTGAACATAATGAATTTGAGTTGGCTGTGAAATATTTGCTTTGAGATGGTTAATAAGCAGGTGGTCACATAGGTCAGAAACTCACGAGTGAGGCATGGCATAGGACAAATTATTTGGAGTGCCAGAATACATATGGTAATTGAAATCATGGGAGTAGATGGGATTGCCTAGTGAGAGAGTATGAAGGAGAAGAAAGAGAACCTCTGGAGTGTCATGCCAACATTCAAGGGCAGTGGGAGGAAGATAAAGTGGGAGGGAGGACCTAAGTGGAGTGGCCAGACAGGTAGGAGAAAAACACAGAAGAGTATGGTCTCATTGGAGATAAGAGGGAAAGAAAGAATGTTTTTAGAAGGAAGTAGTAGTCCAAAATTTCACATTCTAAGAGGTCAAGCAAAGTAAGGACGTCAAAATATCAAATTTAAAGAGAAGTTCATTGATGAACATAGGAAGAGCCATTTCTGTGGAGTAGAGGAAAGTGATGCTAGGTTGGAATGAACTGAGGATGGTTTTGTTGTTTTTATTTTGTTTTGTTTTTAAAATGGGAAAGATGTGAGCATATTTAAATATTGACATGAAGGATCTAATACAGAATAAATGTAATCCTTTATAAAGAATAAAGGTAGAGTACATGTAAAGGTACAAGTCCCTGAGAAGATGGAAGGGTATTAAAGAGATTAGCCTTAAAAAGAAGGAGGAACAGTTCTTCAGTTGTATTGGAAAGGAAGGAAAGAGGGGGTAGGTACATTTGTCATTTTTAGTGACAGAAAATTTCTTAAGTTCCAATCTAAAGGCTATTATGTTTCTTTGTGAAGTAGGACAGATCATGTCCTGATAATAAAGGAGGAGACAGTGGAGTTGGAATTTTGAAGATTGGGAAGGTTTGAAATAGTTATTATGGACAATGAGAGAGGAAGCTGACTAGGAAACCATAGAAAGATTCTCTACCTAATTTAATGATTTTCCTCCAGCAGCCGTGGAGCAGACATGGAGCATGCAGACATTAATATTCCTTCATTTTTTCCCACACTGGGGTTTTGTCAGGTGGATGTAAAGGGAAATAGTGCAAGAGAGTTTCAGGTTTTTAGCTAGAGAATATGCAAAGCAATAGACCTAAGCTGGATAGAGAACAGACAATAGGATGGACAGGAAGAAAATAGACTTGTGGTACCAGTGAAATTAATGGACAAGTGTAGCAAGAGTAAATGAGTGAGTAACCTGGAAGGATGGGAGGTTGCAGTTGTGAGTGAAATGCATGATTTTGTGAGTTCAGAAGTGGAGCAGTTTTAGGGGATAACAAGATCCAGAGTGTGGCTACAAGTGACAGTTACGGAGTATTGGGAAGTTTTGTGATGGTGAAGACATTCGGTAACAGAGAGACCAAAGTATTGGATGAATCATCCATAAGCATATTGTAATCATCTAGGTCCCAAATTCTGGGACAATGGCACAATTTTGACTGAATGGGGTGAGCCAAGTGCCATAGTGAATAAGGAGTTATGATCAGAAGGAGGATGGTATCTTGAGGAGAATTAGAGGATGGTACAGCTAAATAATATCAACCTCAAAGGAGCTTTGTTGGTGTTTAACTGTGATCCCTAGTCTTGTAGGTACAAGATGTGGAAGTAAAGGGAGGAGATGTGACCAACTGAGTCTTACAGACATTGATATAAAATAAGGCAGCTTTGCACAGATGGATAATTTGAGGCAGAGAACAACAGGATTCATGCTTTCCTTGACCTTGAATAGTTCTGGGAAGTAGTCATGGAGTTTTGGCAAAAATAAACATATTAGATATATCAGAAAAAGAGCCAGGTAGGATCTCTAAAAGATAATCTTTCTTGCTGCTTATTGTATTGTATTTTTCTCCAGCTTATTGGGAAGGGTTCTTTAAATCTTCTTGGGAACCATAGATGTCCAGATATGAGCCAGAAGCCAACGTTGTAGTATTTCTCAATGATAAACGGAAGTAGTGAAAGTGAAAGGAGTTATTGTAGGTGCTCTAGTTATTATGGCTGTGTGAGATGGAAAAGTCAACATCTGTTTGATGTGCTCTGACCATTGTTCTATGGACAGTGTACAGACTGTGAATCTGTACATGGAGAATTTGGAAGAGAAGAATCTGCTACAAATTGTAATTGCTGGATTATCAATCCATAGAGCTAGATTACCTCCTTCATAGACAAAGTGGTGGCAGATGTGGGTCTAGTGTAGGCGATGAAAGTGTCCATCACCACCAGAATTGTGTTCTTCTTCTGGAACAGTGTAGATCTATTATAAAATTTGAATAATGGTCTTCTACGGGACTTTGGGTTGGACATGAGTATAGTTACCCATTCAGCCACCCAGGCAACATGTCCTTATTTAGGACCTGGACACATGTCCTATAGGTGGCAATATACTGAAGGTATGGCCAGATACGAGTCTATGAAAAGTTCCAGAGGACCATGTTCAGAGTCTTGACTTGGTCTCAGTGAACCACTGGGCTGCTTTTTGGAAAAGGCAAACGCCTAAAGATAGAGAATTTCATTCGTTTCTTCAGGTGCTGCCAGAGCAGCTGTAAAATTTTAATACACTTTGCTGGTTATAGATACTTATCTATTGTTTCCTCCTAATCTAGCCCAGTAATTCCAATGGCAGTTGTGGAATTGTACTGTAGATTCAGACTCAAGCTGATTTAGGTTAAGCTTCTTAGAAACTCGAACAAGAGGAAGATTGACATGGGAGAGTGTTAGCTTGGCATTTCTGGCTATCTAATATAAATAGTGATGTGAAATTCAGATCTTTGAAAAAGAGGGCCCATTGTATTCTAGCACAGTGTGAATTTATTTTGATTGATTGCTTGATGTATTTGTTTATTTTTTTGCCTTTCCAGAGTTATTCGAGGCTACAGTTATCAGACATTATGATCACAGGGTGATTGGCGTAGGCTCCAGGTTTTAAAGGCAGTCTTTATAGTGAGTAGCTTTTTGCGTAGGTACAAGGGCAGAGGTCCTCCATCCCTGCAGTCTTAGGACATGATAACCTCTGCTTTTGTGTTGGAGGCATCTTTTCCAGTGATAAAGGGTTAGGGCACGAAAAGTAGACTAGGATGTAGGTAAAGGTGACTAGATCAGTTCTTGAATTCTGGAAGGCTAGTTTTCTGGCTGGGATCTAAACAAAATGCATTTCTTCCTTGAAATGGTTTGATAGTGGAACAGTGAAATTAGAGAAGTGAGAGTAACTACACACCTCTGGATATCCTTGATGGACGGGAAAGCTTGCCATTCAAGGATATTAGATACCTTATTGGGTATCACCAAAAACTTCTGATAAGATATGACTCAGGAATTTGATATTCAGGTTTTTTAATATGTATTTCTTAGGTTTGCCATTCTTCTAGATGGCCCAGAGTGGCCTAACCAGAGACATAGATACCTAATGTTTGTTTTTATAGTTTCCAACTGCACACTGAGTAAATAAGCAATCCTTTTAAAATGACCAGGATTAATGACTCTCTCCTCACTCAAAAATATCGTTTCCCCACCTATCTTCCCTATCTTTCTTATCCTAGATTCTTTGTATAAGCTTCCCAATTCATATCTACTTTTGGGCCTCTTTTTCTTACTAAGCCCTGGGAAATTGATGGAATAATTTCTCACTTCTCCCCTCTGCTCTGTACAGTGGATTAAAGCAATGTTGTAAACCCCATTTAAATTTATTTGCTTGTTTATATATTTATGTATTTTTCATGTAGACCTCAAACTAATCCATGCAGCTGGGTCTTTGGGACAATAGGTATTTCAGGATTTTGCAAACTCTTCAGAAAATTAATATATCATTTCTGTAGAACTTTTTATACATTTGTGCCAATCAGAAAGCAATTAATTATAAAACATTCTATAACATCCATTTTTAAAGGAAAATTTTGCTGCGAACTAAAATGAAAGAAGCTTTAAAACTTACTTATACTTTAATTACAATACTTTGTTTCAAGGATATGTTACAATATTTTGTTTCAAGGACATGGGAATTAGTTTCAGAAGAGACTGTTTTCTGGGGGAAAAAAGAAGGGAAAGATTACATCTTCAATTTAAGTACTTCCTGAGTCCATTTTATTAATTAAATCACCTTTATAAACTAACTAAAAATTGGTAACCATATTATTTAAATAACAAAATTTGAGACTTTTTCTAACTAAATTTTTTCTGCTTTTTTGTAGAGGAACTCTGACGAGAAGGCCTTATAAACGAGGAATAATTTGTAGTCAATGTAGCAGATATGACAGATGCACAGATTTTCTATGCAGTAAGATAAAGAAAATAACTTAAACATGAAAAAAATCCATAATGCATTGGACGGCAAGAAAAATGAAGTGTTGAACACTAGTTTTTCATTGTCATGTTAATATTGTTCCTTTGATCAGAATGGTATTATTATATTATCAAAGGAGGGTTGAAACAGGATCATCTTTAGATTTTTCTAAACTGTACAGCCTTTTCTGCCCTCTCTCACCCGTCTTCCTGCCCCTAAGGACGTACCAGAATGTTGGAAAGAAGGAATGAGAACTAACAGTTATACCCTGAAAAGCCTTCACAACTAATTCCTGAAATAGCAGCTTGTTAGAGAATGACTGCTCTAAAGGATAGGCTATTCCAAAATATTTATAAAGAAAAAGGAAGTAAAGTAGCAAATGTTTAATACCTTTTTCTTTTAGTTCCCCCCCAAATATTCAAAAGATAACAGTAGAAACTATGTTTGATTAAATTTTTCTTTTAGTTTTTTCAAACATAAGTGCATATAGTTCAAAAATATAACTCTACCTGGAATATATGATGCTCAGAGGAATGTGGTAGGGGATAAATCCAGACAGTAAGTATGGGACACATTAGCTTTTGTGTTAAAGAAACTAGTGGACAGTTTCAGCTTGACGCCACTGCGGGGATGAACCCACCCTGACATTTCTGCCCTTGCTTCGCTTGAATCAAGACGCAAAGTCTTGCTCTTCCTCTGCCCCGCTTCTTTCGCTTCCTGAGTAGTTCAGTCCTACAGCCATTAGGTAGGTCAGAACGTGGTGGGCATCCACACAGAGGGCAGCCAGACGTGACGTGTTAGAGCCTCAGGAGGATGACAGGGGATGCATACACAGTGCAGTGGACATGGGGAGACACCCTAAGCAGACTGAGGACAGTGTCCATGTTGGGTATGGCCTTGGAATTTAGAGCCCTTGTGGAGTGGAGGGAGTGTCCGTGCACGAGTCAGCTTGGAGTATCAGAGACACATCAGGATGAAGGGATGTCCGTGCAGAGGTGGCTCAGTATGTGGTGTCTGAGCCCAAGTAAGGTGAGGAGAGCATCAGCATGGGGTGAGAGGGAGAAGCCTGGTGCAGAGTGTCAGAGCCTGAGCAGGTGAGGAAGGCTTCCATGGAGGGATCGTCTGGCACTGGTTGTTAGAGCCCAAGCAGAATGAGGAGAGGATTCACATATAGCGGTGACCTGGCCAGAGGTATTAAAACCCAAGCAGGTAAGGGGGCATCCATGTTTAGGGGCAACCTCACAAAAGGTGTTGGAGTCCAAACTAGGTGAGGAAGGCTTTAATGTGGGGGCGGTGGCCTGGCATGGGAGAGATCAGAGCCCTAGTGGACTAAGTAGGGAAGCCACACATTGGAAAAGCCCAAAGCTGGGTTTCAGAGTCTGAGGAGGATAGGAGGAGGTCCAACTGGAAGATCAGCCTGTGGGTTGCCAGAGTAAATGCAGGAGACCCAGCTAAATTTTAATTTCAGATAAATGAAAAATATTTTTAGTATAAGTATATCCCAAATATTGCATGGGATATACTTGTACTAAAAAATTGTTTGTTGTTTTCTGAAATTCAAATTTAACTAGGCCTCCTATATTTTTATTTGCTAAATCTAGCAACTCTACCAGCCTGGTTTGTGGTTCAGAGCCCAAGCAGGGTAAGGGGGGCACCCATTTAGGGGAGAGTAGAGGCAGTGATGGGAGATTGGAAGCATACTGGGAGATTGATCAAATGAGTAAATAGATGAAGGATAATGGAAGCCAATTTTCTCACTGTCAGAGAATGGAGTACAAATATGTAAAGGAAGAAACCAAGCATGAATCATGTTATGAATTGGAATTAGAGGTTTTGGAACTTAAGGATTTCAATAAATATAAATAAACATAGATATGAATATCTGTATATGTATGTGTGTACATACATATGTTCCCTAGTTCTGAGATGGCCTTGGAGCAGTAACCCCCCCACCCCCAAAGCAATGCCCACAACTAGCCCCCACATCTTGGTTTCTAAATTCTAGTCTGCACTCAAAGGAACCAGGCTCATTGGAGAAAGGTTGGATTCCAGGGCTGGGGCAGAGAAAATATAAGATAAACCCAGAACATCTTTTTATACCTGAAAGGAAGGAAGTGCTCAAGAGTGATGGGAAATGTAATAAAAAGGACACAGGAGGACTCAGAAGCCGTCTTAAAAGGGCGTCACTGGTCAAATCGATTTTAACTCATTGGATAAAACAAACTATGATTCATACTAATATAATTTAATAACTGACTAAATTAAAAGTTTGATGAGGAACAGTGTATTTACATAGTTCCAAAGTAACTGCCCATAAAATGCTTAATCAGGGCCGGCCCTGTGGCTTAGCGGTTGAGTGCTGTGGCTTAGCGGTTGAGTGCGTGAGCTCCGCTGCTGGTGGCCCGGGTTCGGATCCCTGGCGACCGACATACCGCTTCTCCGGCCATGCTGGGGCCACATCCCACATACAGCAACTAGAAGCAGCTATGACGTACAACTATCTCCTGGGGCTTTGGGGGAAAAAATAAATAAATAAAATCTTTAAAAAAAAAAATGCTTAATCACTAAGGGAAAAAGAGTAACTTCACAATGGAGCAACCTGGCAGACACTACCCTAAGAAAGTGATCAAAGTGAGCGTCGTCAGCAGTGGGAAAAGTCGGAACCACAGCCCTGCACCACCTGAGAGGATGCAATGGGAAGAGCGCAGCATCACTTGTGGCACTCCTACCAAAGATGCATAACCTAGTCCAATCACAAGGAAGCATCCAAGGCTAAATTGCAGATTTGTTTAAAAAATTGTGGATTTGTCTATGAAGTAAGTGGCTTGTTATCTTCAAAAATGTCAAGATCATGAATGTCAAATAAGGAATGAAGAATGATCTCATACTGAAGAAAATACAGAGACATGAAAACTAAATGCAATGCATGATTCCGAACATGATTTTTTTGCTATAAAGGACGCTATTAGCACAATTGGCAAAAATTGAATGAGGCCTAAAGATTAGGTGGTAGTAATGTAACAATGTTAATTTCCTGATTTTGATGGTTGTGTTATGGTTATGTAGAAGAATGTCCTTGTTTGTAGGAAATACTAAGTACTCTTGGATGATGAGGTATCAGATTGGCAACTTTCATTAAAATGGTTCAAAATAAAAGTTATTTGTACTATATTGCAACTTTTTTGTAAGTTAGAGATTCTTTTAAATTTTAAAAAATTTCTAAAAAAGAATGCAAAATCAGGGAAAGTAAATCAGTTTGAAGATTTTTGTTATAGTCCAGGGAGTGATGAGGTTCATATTGGAGTATTTGTAAGAGAAATAGAGGTGATGAGACAAATTTAATTAATATTTATGGAGCAAAGTTAGCAAGTCTTGGAGGCTAATTTAATATGGTGATGAGAAAAAGAGTCTGATGTAAATGTCAGGTTTGGGATTTGAGTGACTAATGGTCAATGGCAATTTATTGAGATATGAATTATATGCAAATAGATGATGGGTTCAGTTTTGATCATTATTAGCTTTCAATACCTGAGATATTAAGACTAACATCTGAGCAGATAAGACTAGTAAACTTAAGGTACAGATTAGGGCTGTATTTCAGAATCATTAGCATATAGATGAGACTAAAAATATAAAAAAGGAAGAACTCAGCTGGTACAACACATAGAGAGAGAAGAATAGTATACTGAGAATGGAATCCTAGGAGAAAACAATGAGAAATACTGAAAGAGAATGGGGGAAACAGTAGGAGAGTGACAAAAAGACGGTACCCTAGTGTACCCTTTCATTAAAGCGTGCTCAGTGAATTGGCAATATAGAGATCATTAGGAACCTGAGAGAGATGTCAGAGGAATAGCAGGGTAGCAACCAGATTTCCATGGGTTGAAAGTGAATGGAAAGTGAAGAAGTAGAAATATCTAGGGTAATATGTTGTGGTCAAAAAGCTTGGTTGAGGAATTTCCGGTTTAAAATAGCATCTTATTGGTCAGTTCCAACAAAGTTTATCCTAATTTTTCATTAAAATACCAATAAAGAGTCTTTCCTTTAGCTAATCAACAAATATTTATTTAGTGGCAACTGTATGCCAGATTTTATACCATACAGTTGGTATAAAAGTGGGGGTAAAATGATAAGGAGAGAGACATACTTCCTGCCTTCTTTGAACTTACAGTCTAGCTAGGAAGATAGCATTTAAAAGTAAAAAAAAATAATGTTATAAAGTGTAAAACTATCATTTTAAAATTTTATTTAAAGTTCTATGAATTTTAATATATGTATAAATTCATGTTATCGCCACTACCATCAGGATACATAACAGTTCCATTCCCAAAAAAACTTCCCTGTGTTATTCCTTTACGGTCACACCCTCCTCCCACCCCTAACTCTGGCAACCTCCAAGCTGTTCTTCACCACTTTAGTTTTGTCTTTTTGAGAAAGTCGTATAAATGGAATCATATGGTTTGTAACCTTTGAAGACTGGCTTCTTTCACTCAGCATGATCCTTTGAGATTCAGCCAAGTTGTATATATTAATAGCTTGTTCCTTCTTTGCTGAGTAGTACTCCATTACATAGATATACCACAGTTTGTTGATCCATTCAGTCACTGAAGGACATTTGTGTTGTTTCCAGTTTTTAGAAATTGTGAACAGAGCTGCTATAAACATTTGTGTACAGGTTTTTGTGTGGATATGTTTTTCTTTCTCTAGGATAAATACCCAGAAGTGAGATTGCTGGGTCATATGGTAAATATGTGTTGAACATTATAGATAAATGCCAGATTGGTTTCCAGAGTGGCTGTAACATTTTGCATTCCCACTGGGAATGTATAGGAATTCTAGTTGCTTTGTTTTCTCATGAGCACTTGGTATTGTCAGTATTTTTTACTTTAGCCATTCTAAAATAGTATAGTGGTATCTCATCTTGGTTTTAATTTGCATTTGTGTGTACTATATCTCATTTTGGTTTTAATTTGCCTTTTCCTAATGGCTACTGA